ACTTTAGAATAATGTCTGCTATTTATATTTATACCAGTGACAGTTATTAGCTTTAATACAGTGTGTTATTTAACTTTAGAATAATGTCTGCTATTTATATTTATACCAGTGACAGTTATTAGCTTTAATACAGTGTGTTATTTAACTTTAGAATAATGTCTGCTATTTAGATTTATACCTAGTGATTGTTATTAGCTTTAATACAGTGTGTTATTTAACTTTTATTTAATATCTGCTACTTAGCTTTAGATTAGTGATTGTTACTAGCTTTAATAAAGTGTGTTATTTAACTTTTATTTAATGTCTGCTACTTATCTTTATACTAATGACAGTTATTAGCTTTAATAAAGTGTTATTTAACTTTTGTTTAATGTCTGCTACTTATCTTTATACTAATGACAGTTATTAGCTTTAATAAAGTGTTATTTAACTTTTGTTTAATGTCTGCTACTTATCTTTATACTAATGACAGTTATTTAACTTTAATGTCTACTACTTAGTTTTATACTAGTGACAGTTATTAGCTTTAATAAAGTGTATCATGTAACCTTAAAATAATGTCTACTACTTAGCTTTAGAATGGTAAAATATATTTAGTTTAGGAATAACGTGTGATATTTACACTTAGAATTGAGTTTGCTAATAAGAGTTAATATATAGAGTTTTAATTGGAAGTTTCAATTCTTTATTTCAAGTTATTAGATATAGGGCAGAATTTTATTGAATACCAATCAAAATTATCCGGCTACAGAGTTTCTCTAGAAACTGCAAAATAACGAGAAGTATAACTGATTTTAGATTATTGATTTAAGACTTGTGATTAGGGTTTCAGGTTTACCGGTGAGGGTGACTAGATACGTGAAATAACGTCCAAACATGCTCCTAGTTACGTATTTCCGTGTGATGTTATATAACTTGATCAAAACCCTATGTGATTTCGTTAGCCCCTGTTAGCAGTTTCATTTGAATAAGCGTTAATTAACGTACGTAATAAATTATTTAATACGAGGGTGAGTAATCTTTAACAGAATTACAATTCCATTCAATGTGTATCAGTATATTTATTGTGTGTAGTTATTGTAGTACAATAAAAATGTTTGCAGTGTTACTTGCAGCAAAAGCTATGAAATGCAAATGTTTATGTTTTTCTGGGGGTGGGGTGCTGTTGTAGTTCATTTATACTAACATTGATTTATAATTAGATCCACCGAGAGAGATCGTACATTGGATCGGCGATAAATTTACGGATTTACGATACTAAAATTCTGGGTTCGATTTCCCACAGTGGACAGAGCGCATTGTGTAGCTTTGCGCTAAAAATAAGAAACCTTATTCATTAATAAGAAAAGCACACTTTCCCTCATCCTTTATTCTCCTTTTATAAAAGATCATGACCGACAGTTCTCACTGGGCAGCTTATTTTCATGTATTGAAAATTACAGTTTTACTTGAGGCATTCTCTTGGTAACTGTTGCTTTTTTAAATTTTTTGGGCTGCTCTTGTATCTAATGTTTCTAAGTTATTATTCAATTATAAACTTTTTTGCTGGTATTCCTTTTGAAATGAGAAGTTAAAGTCAATTATTAGACACCAAGAAAGTTGATAGGCTTTCTTATGCAGCTTGTAATAAGAGTATATAATTTAAGAAAAACAAACAAAAAAAAGTCAAATATTTGAAACATTCTTTTTAAAAACTAATAATGCTCCGGAGGCTTAACTAGTATCGAATGTTATCAGAGCAGTTCGCGGAAATGAGTTTGGTTTCCATTTCTCATACCAATTAAGAAGGTGATTTCTTTTGGAGGTAGTTTGACAGAGATTATTATGGTGGATTATTTACAATCTAGAATATCCACAGAGTCGTAACAAAATTATTTAAATATCTTACAAAATAACGTAATACGTGCACTTTCACGATCATGTTAGGGTAGGGAAAACACGTTAGAACTGCAATTTTGAAGTGAATTATTATTTAATGGATTAACAATATATTATTATATACACATAGAAAAAACCCAGTAGTTTTGTAGTCAAAATAAAAAAGAAAAAGAAGGAACAAAATTACTGCATTATTATTATGTTTACATAATTGTCTCATTATGCATAAAATATGCATGGTTATTACTGTTTTCCATAATTAAAAATGGCAAATCGTTTTCTTTGTCCTAGACATTGTGTATCTCTTGTACAGGTCTGCAAAATTTCATTCATCAGCTTTGTCTACTTTTTATTCTAGAGTACGCGATGTTCCCGGAAATTTATAAATTTTCAGTGCCTCAAACTTTGTCCAGCAATAAAAAACACAAACAAACAAACAAAAAACGGTGAAAGTATTTATTTATTAGTTTGATTGTCAAAAATGTAAAATTTGCTTTAAGATGTTTTTCAAAATGGCCTGTATTCCGCCATTCATTTCCGCTAAGGGAAGCAATTCCAAAACGTAAGCCTGCTAATTGTAGTAGTGAATACTCGATTGAGCGCTTGCAACGCGAGCTCCTAGCGACCACAGCCAGCGGATCTCTCTTAATTTTTACATGCTTACACACTAATCCAATCACTAGGGCTTGAAGCAACAATTTCAATCTACGTCTACTTAGTTGAGGCAGTTGCCTACTCCTTTTCAGTTAATATTTATCAGGAACAAAACTGGATTTAAATTTTGTTTTACAGCACACGAATAAACAGTTTTCTTTTGCTCTTATTATTAAATTTACTATTGAAGAACAACTGGATCCTCTCCATCATTTTTGGGTACTAAAACAGTTAATATGGAGAAAGAGTTTGAAAGTAAATGTTACAATAAATTAACGTTTTCTGCCCCTAGAGTTTAAAAATAATTTAATTAACATTTTCATACATCGGAATTATAAAACTGTTAGTTATTTTTGTGGGTTTCTTGAATAATTTTTTAATATAAATTATTATAAAAAAGTTCCATCTGTATTTAAGAGATTTGTATGTCACATGTTATATAACTAAACACATAGTTCACCGTTTAGCTATATACAGGGAAACGTACTTTAGAATTTTAAAAAAACTGTCTTAGATTGTAAGAATTATCCTCAATATTCAACTTATTTTAAGCCGATATTTCGCTTAAACAACTACTTTAAATTTAAAACCAGTGTTCCGAAAATGTCGTTCTCTTACATTATCTATAAATATACATGTCTAAGGTGTAACCATGGTTATGTGGGCTCTACAATCCAATTGTTTGATGAACGAAACTCAAATTAAGTATATCGATATTAGTGATATGCTTTAAATGAAGAAAATTCCTTGATTTACGTTTTATGCTAGCTCAGATTCTCAAGTCTATCTCTTTATATATCTTATCTGTCACTAGGATACAACCGACAAAGTGTAAGTTTTGTTACTGGTATGTTAACCAATATTTTCCTAAATTAGTTTGAGTGTATTTTAATGTGTACACACGTGTGGGTCACCTATACAAAAATTTAAACATTTCCAAACAAGAACAACACAGCTTATGAACAAACCTGACGCCATTATACCCGACATCTTATGGTGTTAACTATTTTAGCAACGCATTTGTTCTACGCAAGTTTGAAATCCATTTCACTCTAAATCTTCAAATTTAAAATATTTCACTAATGTTGAATCCTAATGTTCTTATGAAAATCTTTGTAAAAAACAATATAATAGGGCTCAATGTTTATTTTAGAGCAAACCCAAATTATCTGCTGTGTCCACCGCAGGGAATCGAACCCAGGATTTTTGCAACGCAAGCCTGTATATACCGCTGACCAACCGGGGAACAAACAGGGCTCAAAGCAATTGACTTTTCATATTTCAGTACTGCCCCCAGTCAGTGAGCTTATAACACTAAAATTGTTTTTCGATACTCTTGGTGGGAACAGCACAGATAGCCCATTGTGTAGCTTTACGCTTAACAACAAACAAACAGACAAAATATGTCAGTACTTCCACATGTCGATTAAAAACATCATCTTAGTGACGTCATAACTATCTTCATATTTAAAATGTTTTTACTTTCATAAAATAAAATGTGTATTTTTCCAACACTCAGTGACTTTGTGGCAGGGATACTGACAGTACAAAGCTTCAAATGTTTAAATAATGAAGCTTTGAACTGTTTGAAGCTTTGTCAGTTTTGGTTTGTGTTTTAGTGAACGCTCCTGAAGAAGCTGTAAAGCGAAACGTTGATTGTTTAATTAATTAAATATAAACAACATATTGGTGTTATAAAGTCGTCTATTTCTAGATTTAATTTATTGCTATTGAAATTGAATTTGAACCATTTTAAAATAAAATATTTTGATAAAAGTGAACTTGTGACTATTTAAAACAGAAGAATAAATGGACACTGTAAATTGGTCTATCTTTTAATCTTTCTGGTAATCATTGTGGGTTAACTGAACAATGCATTTGAATCAGTAAAAAAAGACATTTGTATAGGCACACATTTGTAAAATTTCTTTTTCTTTGTTTTTTTTGTGTGATGGTGGTAATGGTGGTGGTGGTGGGGGAGATTCTGCTGTTTCTTTTTTAATCTCATATTTGAATATAAGCAAAGCCCTTAAAAATACCTCGAGATAATATATTAGATAATGAAATTTAACGGGTTAATCGTTTACAGTTTAACAGCGCGGAAACGTTGTAGACCTGAAGTTCAATGCAGTGATTCGTAGTTGTTTGTTTGTTGTGCAGTACAAAACTGCACAATGTGTTGTACCCGTGCTGTGGCCACGGCAGGGATCGAATCCCAAATTAGCGTTGAAAGCCCTCGAGCTCACCACTGAACCATCTAGAGTCGCATCAGTATACAATCGCCAACCACATACATTTAGACAGTTTTATATTCGTATTGCTTAATGTCTGAGATTTTAATGATATAAAAAAAATCTTTTACAGAAATTTGACCATCTCGAAAAACAGCTGTCTAATGGTGGTCTGCACGTGGTGGACAGGACATCTCCATACCTAGTCAGTCCGTTACTACGCACAGCAGGGAATATGGATCAACAGTCCATATCGAATATATTTTCTTCAACATTAAGCAGGTCGCCATGTTTTCCTTTTGCTTTCTTTTATAACCAGCCTCACGCCTATTCGTTTTTAGCTTCACACGCTTCGTCAGCTACCTTATCTGCCAGTCTTCCACACTATGAACTCAGTCGTCAAATGGCACTGTTGAATTCGACGGCAGGTGGAGCTTTTTATCCAATTAGTTCTGTTAAAACGAACTTGACTGGTTCATCTGTGAACACGGACGTGAAAGATGGACACACGAATAATTCAAAGTGCAAAGAACCAACATTATTTCAGTGGTCACGATACCTTACTACAGACAAATCTCAAAAAGTGTTAGACCTCAGGTCTCCAGAAGCAGTTGGAAGAGATTATTCCAACAAATCCACTCGTGTTTCTTTGAGTCCAGGAAGCGACTTCGAACCTTCTTCTAAAATAACAAAAATACAAGAAAGTAACGAATTACAATGTAAGTTATTATGTTCCTTATTTGTATCTAAGGTTTAGTTATTTAAAAGTATTCAGTTAAGAATGTTAGTATGGAATATAATTTTGTTCCTGGCTCTCTCCTATGATAATGAATCTATCAACTTTATTCAAGTTTATTATCTTTAATATTAAAAGTCTGATAGAGAGGTCACACAACACTAATCATCAAGAGTTGGAGTTAATATTTGAGGTCATTTTGAAATCACAGACGAGGGCCAATTAATAAAAACCACCAAGTTAAAAACCACAGGTCTAGGCCAATTCATAAACCATAAGGTGAAGACTCACAGGCAAGGGCCACGTAATAAAGCCAGTCAGTTAGAAACCACAGGGGAGGAGCAATTCATAAAACCACAGGCAAGGATTATTTCATAAAAACACTAACTTAGAAACCACAGGCAAGGGTTAATTCACAAACCCACATGCCTTTACTGGCGAAACCATGGCCGTGAATAAATGAAGTTTTTATGAAAAGTACAATTGTCTTTGTTGTTGTTTTTTTTTCTTCAATTCTGTAACTATGGAGTTTCACCAAGTACCGACGTTTTCAAGCATCAAGCTAGAAACCATAGGTGAGGCGCATTTCATAAAACCCCTAAGCTAAAAATAACAGGCGAGGGTTATTTCATAAAACCAATAAGCTAAAACTTCATAACAGAAAGAGTTCTTCAGTGAGGCCCAAGGTAAGTTTTAGTTTTTAACTCAGTCTTCATTACATCAACTAAGTCGTAACAATTTCCACGAGTTATATATATATATATATGTTTCCATCAGTCTCCAGGTGGAGGAACTTTGTCGAATGGTCAATCGTACTGTCCGGTTTGTGGTGTCACTCTTCAATCACAAGATCTTATGGAACACGTACAGCAGGAAATAGAAAACTTACACAAGTTTTACCGGTGAGTGCAGATTAAAACTAGAAGCTGTTATTTTACCTAAATCTTTTAAAAACGTTGAATACAGTGATAATCGCAACGTGTGTTTAATATATAGTGAAACTGAAGCTTGTCCATGTTGAGTTTTAACATTTTAAAAATATGCGCATTCACACACACACTTGAACAACATGGTGATATGTACGAATCCTAAACTAAGCCTCTCTCTAATACAGTATATGATATAACTTTATCATACAATTTTTTAAAATATTATTACACCTTTATGTGCTTATTTAAAGAATAAGACGAAAAGGATCCGCCCATCTTTGAACTGAATTAATCTTGCTTTTGGGCACAGTCACGTATGTCAGTAGGTTCGGCCCAAGATTTGTTTTTATTCACACCTGGGCGACTTGTTGGATAATTCATTACACTGCTGTTAAATATATTTTTTTTGTGTGTGTGTGCCAGGTTGCGTTAAACTAGAGAAGTCAGAAACTATGATTTACTTTATTTGTTAACGGAGCTTGTCTGATGACGTGGCATCCTGAGAAGTCCTGGTGATTCTTGTATGTGTAACATAGTTCTAAACTAAGATGATTCATTGGATAGCGCTGAATAATTCGAACTTGTATCAATCTTAAAAAGCACGTGTCTCCAGCTTTGCTAATTCCACTTTTTGTGGTCCGATGCTAATTTCTAACTTTTATTTTGGTTACTTCTTCTCACAGCATTTTCGAGCAACGACGTGTCATTGAGACAACTTTGTGCTAAGATGTCTCTTACTGTTTTTGAGGTTAGATTCACAGCTATGTTACACCAAGGTCGTTGGTAAGATACGTACTCGACCGTCATCTGTCTCGTACATAACATACCCCGAAATAGTTCACACTTCGACCACTTCTATTGTAAACAGTGCCAGTTTCACGCACCCTTTTCAGACTTTTGCATACAGCTTCTACTGAAACGTGGAACCTTGTCTCAATTTTTCGAACGGAATATCTTTGACGAGTCAATAATTTGATTTCTACATGCTATATTTCTACATTTCTATATGTCAGTTCTTGGAGATATGACTGGATTCACACTACTACTATTGGGCATAGTATGAATTTCTGTCCATTATAGGTTATATACTGCCGTGACACTTTTTTGACTGGTTGGATGATAACCAATCGCATCGCGAACTATCGATACGTGACTGTTTCCTGGTGCAACTCATTTTCACGCGACAAAGAAGTGGCTTTCTATTAGTATTTGTCTTTTATACCTTTTATTTCACCCTTTACTTATTTTTATAAATAAATAATGTATGACAAAACTAACTTGTACTCTTGAACAAGCAATGCCAGATCTTACTTATATTCATCAATAACGATGTGATCAGATTAACGAGGGTTAACTGGATTCCACATGTTTTAACACAAGTAACGTAGTTTGGTAGAATACTTTTCCTTAACTCATAAGTTCATCATGCCTATTTCTCTGGTGTAGGAGTAAAGAATGGGACTCTTCAAAAGATGAATCGGATAAAACGGTAGGCGAGACAATAATTTACTTTTTTATACTATTGTCAGCCTGTATCACAATTTGAAATAATAATAATATGATAGAATGGTACCTTGTTATAATAATAATAATGGTACCTTTTTATAATAATAATAATAATAATGATACCTTGTTATAATAATAATAATAATGGTACCTTGTTATAATAATAATAATGGTACCTTTTTATAGTAATAATAATAATGGTACCTTGTTATAATAATAATAATGATGATACCTTGTTATAATAATAATAATAATGATGATACCTTGTTATAATAATAATAATGGTACCTTTTTATAATAATAATGATAATGATACCTTGTTACGATAATTATGGTATCTTGTTATAACTTAAATTTGTTTGTTTGTGTCATTTAAATATTGTAAGTTTTATTAACCCCTCTAATCACAAGATTAATCCGTGCTTTATGGAGCAAGCAGCAAACAAAAACTAAATTATATCCAGTCTTGTATTATAGTTAAATGAAGAAGATACAAGTATTTAAAGCTACAAACGCGTTTTTTAAGGAATTGTAAAAACAAATCAAATGTTTTTATAGTCACCTTAATATGTAATGGAAAGGGGTCGTTTAAAAAATGTCTAGTCGTTATCCAAAATATTCCGATTTATCATAGATACTGTTTCCTTGAACAATGAAATTAATACGTTATGAATAATAGTGTAAGCCAGGTTTTATCAGCCTTTTGCACCTCTAGCCAACTTAGTTATTTGGCACAATAGTAAAGGCCCACATGTGTAGCTGATGACTTATTAGAGCAACCACAGGTCTCCCGGCCCGCGGCGGCCCATAACTGCGCGTCTCACGTCCCATTGGATGTGAATTAATGTTTTACTAGTTATCAAATGCTAATTTTATGAATTAGGCGCCAGAAAACGTGATTCTAGTGATAATTTCATTTTAAACTTGTAAGCTTATGGCGAAAAGGTCTACATGTAGCAGCACTACATAATAAATGTACTTCCGCATTTTCCTCGCAAGTGTTCTATTTCAAAAGTAAATAAAACCAAAATTAAGAGTAATAAACCTTTTTATTTCTTGCTTTTGAAGTTCACATGTCATGCTGTATTGTAGCCTACAGTGTGCATAATTCTTCTCGTGATTCATGACATGTGTACGTTTTACTGACGTTACGACAGGACAGTACAAATTGCAACGTTAAGCGTCCCTTATCTTACGTAATTTTAGTGTCTACTGACAGACAACACACTACTGTATTATAGTGGGAGTGGTAAAAACAGGTGACCCTTCCAGGCGGCCTTCAGCCTCCTTTTGGGGAAATTATCTTAACTTATGTGACTTGATACATCACCAGTTTCTACTCTTTTTTTTCTTATCTATCTGACTTAATGAAGTTTAACAAGAACTGTGATTAATAAAAGAACTAAAATATGGAAACTTATTATTATTTTAAAATTATATTTTAAGATAATTAAAGATCGCATCGTAGATGTAAAGTACCCGAAATTTAAAGAATTCTCTGATTATATAAAAAAAGGTTTTAAAACTAGATCCTTTTCGTTCTAGCCACTTTGTAAGAATTAAATTATGTACGCATGTCTTTTAGTGAGAGTGACTTGAAAAAAAAAGTCCTGATGAACATTAATACCCAAAGCTATCTTAACACACGAATCATAGAACGCCATATTCATTTTCTTACCAAGTACAGGTGCTAAGAAGCCTCTATAAACATCCCTAGATTTTGGAACGTTAATATATTATATAAATATAATTAGTGCTTTAATAAAAAAAATACAGAATAAATTATGACGGACGATAAAAAACAACAGTGCTTATTTAGACAGTCATGTATTAATCGTTAATTTTTCCATACTTTAAATACAACTAATGAACGGTTATCTTAGAACATGAAAAGTTGCTTTCCTTATATATATAATTGTAAAAAAGGCAAAAACGCCCATAAAAATTGCAAAACACAAAGTGTGAAACGCAACATTATATGTATCTCCGTATAGACTCAACAAACCTTCAGAACAGTTTTGGTGAAGTTCCATCAACAGGGGGAGAAGTAATGGTAAAATAGCAAAAACGACCATTAAAGCCGCAAAACGCAAAATGCAAAACTGAAAATTTGTATGTACCCCCACATGGACCTAACGAACCTCCATACCAATTTTGGTGAAGATCCGTCCATTCTCTGCGAATTAGTTACATGGACAGACAACAGACAATACTATTATATTTATATAGAAGTAGTTACATGGGCAGACAACAGACAGTACTAGTATATTTATATAGAAGTAGTTACATGGGCAGACAACAGACAGTACTAGTATATTTATATAGAAGTAGTTACATGGGCAG